AACAAGCCCACAGCATGCGGCCGATCCGGATCCACCTCGTTCTGCACCCGGCTGCGAAGGACGGATTCCGCATCCGTGTAATATTGCGGAGGCCTGCGACGACATAGTTCTTCTACATCGCTACACACTCGCAACCAGCGATTGCCGTCATCCGACTGATCGTTCAATCCAACGATGCTGGATACCAGATGGCCAGAATCCGAATCAGCACCTGAACTTCGCAAGACGGCGTCCTCCAAGTTGCTGGCGCCGGCAGCTGGACTTCGCAAGACAGCGTCCTCCGACCGCCGGCGCCGCGACCAGGATCCGGATCAGCAACTGAACTTCGCAAGACAGCGTCCTCCAAGTTGCTGGCGCCGGCAGCTGGACTTCGCAAGACAGCGTCCTCCGAACTGCCGGCGCCACGGCCAGGATCCGGATCAGCAACTGAACTTCGCAAGACAGCGTCCTCCAAGTTGCTGACGCCGGCAGTTGGACTTCGCAAGACAGCGTCCTCCGAGCTGCCGGGGCCGCGATCCAGATTCTGTTCGTCTGGCTCGCCCTCCTCATCTTGGCCTTGCGCATCGGCCGGGCCCTTTTGCAAAAGTTCGCGGGCCAAGTAACTGTCAGCGGCCGTTTCCAAAACGCAGCCTTCCAGTGCGTCGACGTCGTCACCAGGAGTTAGGCCGGCCTCCAGCGCGACCGACCTGTAGTAAGGCGACGTCTCGCGCAGCTTCTCAACAGCGGCAACATACTCCTCTCTGGGAGCTTGCAAAAGCTTGCTGGACCGCAGTTCCTGCTTCTTCTGCCCAACCAAAACGAACAAGATGCTCTCGGCCATGTCTTGGTCTTTGGGAGGCAGAGTAGCCTGGATGGCGCTAGGCCCAGCCTGCGGCAGGAAGATCGTGTTACCGATGTATCCCTTCTGCCTCTCGTCTCGCGGCAGTGACAAAGGTTGCAAGACGGTCACCTGCATGCAAACCCGCACGATGGGAAGCAGCCGTTTTGTTCCAGCCGAGAGGTTGCTGAGCTCGGGCAATACGCGTCCGATCCAAAGGTCGTTGGCCAGCGCATGCCTGGGAAGCGTGAGAATACTGCTCTTCAAACTCCTGCGACAGTCTCTGCAAACCGTACAGGGGTCCGTGAAAGATGCCGGCATGCGGCGGCGATGCAGCAGCAGAAACTCGCCTTCAATGTACGGATGCTCCACAGCAGAGGCCTTCAGTTCGGAAAGAGCTATCTGCGGCCAGCGCTCCGCATACCGAGCGACGCCCAACAATCGGCAAAGACGGTGCTGCTGATTCGGGGCCAGCGTCTCGGCGCCGGCAGGTACCTCGATTGTCGACGCATCTTCATCCGGCCTCTGAAAGAGAACCATGGAAAACAACTCGTTCATCCAGAAACGGCGAGCGCACACCACGCAGCCTCCTTCCGCTCGGCCACCGTCCATTTCAAGAGGGCATCGCAGCTCCTCGTCGAAATTGGCAGCGATTGCACGCTGACGACTCATCCCAGGCACCTGACTGTGATCGTTCCTAACACGTTATTACGCACGTCGACCCTTTACCGTAACCGAAAGCAAGAAGGCGCAGCATGCGACAAGAAGCCATCGGACCGGCATGCTCCACCATCGCCAGGATTTTCTTGCGGTATTCAACGAAGGCGAGCTCCACATCCAGCGGCCGCACGAGATGAGTGTCCACGACGTGTTGCTTCAGCTCCGATTGCTTCCGGCAACTGAAGTCGCATAAGCGGCAGCAACACCGTTCGCACGTCACCGAGGCATCGTCCGAAAAAGTCTGGAGCAGGCGACGAGCTACCGCCTCGCTTACGGCAGGTACGCTCCGAGAGCAATTCAGCAGCACAGCGACGCGATCCAGCTTCAAAGGCAACGACACCTCGGAGTCTCGCAAGATCCCGAGCGCTTGCCGCCCCGCCTCGTCCGCGTTCCGAAGCAAGTCTTCCACGGGCAAGAAACGTTGCTTCATACGCCTGCCCTCACACCACCCGGGGACGGCGAACAGCACTGCCCGCTCCACGGCCGAACGCCAGAGAATGCCGTCTAGCGCCTCCGAGCCATCACCAAGGCAGTCAAGTGCCAGCCAGCACAACGGATCGAAATCCGGCGGATAAGCCTTTCTCATGGCCCGGGCCCTCGCAGTGGCACCGTCAGGGTAGTACGCTTCAACACCCTTGGCCAGGACTGGATTCTCCTCTCGCGAAGGCAAACGGTAACACCCTTCAGTCGTCTGCCAGTCCAGAAGCTGATTCCACAAGGTGAGCGTGTCTTTATCTATGCCTTGCTCGCTAGCCCTGGCTGCCGACACTGTGTTAGGATTGTGCAAGTCACGAATGCCGATGCCAGCCAGCGGGTGCAACAGCTCCGTCACCAAAACCAAGCAAATTGCGACCAGTCTTCAGACTTCCGCACGTCCCCGAAGGTCTGGTACCAGTACAAAGGTTCGTCCGGCTGTGCTTGTCGCTCCCACCCATACCGACGCATCAGCCCCCGAAGCAGTGTGGTATCGGCCCGATCGAACTTGCGAGTGCGAAACTTGTGCTGGATAATGCTCAGGACAGCCTGCCAGGACCCGATCGCCACGACAAACAAACATGAGCGAGAAACGCACAGCAACGCGTGCGCACATGAAGCTACAGTCCAACTTAATCCTCATTATGTCCATGACCCCATGCACGATCACGTCCCAGACTCTCTATGTTTCGGGACGGCTTCGCGCGGGTTGCCTCCAACACCTCTTGGCGATCTTCGTACCCGTCCGTTGCACACGCTCGCGGCTCCGCCTCGAGGTTGGCCAGATACCAGAGCCGGCGAGCAACGTCCACGGGGTCCACTCGCTCGAGGCAATCTGCAAGACGCCACCAACCTGTTTCCCGAACTCACACGCACAACGCACGACAGCAACACGGCATCCAAGACATTACACGAAGATCGTGATTTGCGATAATGCTCGCCTGTCCGCTGATCCACGTGATCTTCCAACACGGCTGCAAGAAGACAATGCTGCATGGAAGAAGTCAGACACGGCACAGTCGCGTCTCTCAAGCCGGCAACAGCAACCTCCCACGTAGAACTCACTTCTCGAGACAGCGCCGTGTCGACCTGTGACCAATGCTGCAGACTGTCCAGAATCTTTTGCGCAAGTAGATCTCTCTCCGAATCGGAAGACAGATGTCTCGCGGAAAATGATTCTACCGTAATGTCCAACGAGTACGCAGCCGCGGATTGGCGCACGTTGGCATCCTCGAAGATGTCGCAAGCAGCTGCAACCACCGCTTCAGCATCCTGTGCTCCGGCTCTGCGAACCGCGTAGAGGGATCTCCACATTAGGTACTTGATGTCACCGTCTGCACTCGGAACGCGCAGGGGGCACAACGCCATGACAATCCGCTGAATCAAGACCTGCTTGCTCACGTCCTCAAACGCCACACCCAGATCTTCGGCCACTCGCTGCATACAGGGTCCATCGGCCCGCAAGGGCAAGACACGAAGCCGCGCCCGAATTCGAGGTGGTGCCTTTTCCCCGAGCTCTCCTGCCAAGCGCCGCAAGCCATCTGCCGTGAAGAGGTCCTCGATATTCACCTGTAAGCACGGAAACAAACAGACACACACACACACACATGCACGCACACGCCCCCCTTCCCCCCGTCATACCTCCTCCTGGACGATGCCCAGCGACAAAGCTTCCAACAGATCCGCTTTGGAAAGCGTGTGCCCGGCGCGGTGTCGTCGCACACTCGCAGCGACACAGAGCCCAACCAGCTCCTGCCGGTTTTGCTTGTCCAGCTCGCCGCGGAGCCAGGCTTCGCCCTGCTCGGCATAACCCGTGCGCAGCTCCTGCAGCCTTTGCTGCGACGCCGCTTCATCGGCCTGACACCAAGAACTGCTTCACTGCAGAGCACTAAACATCCCACCCGACGACGACGCTGACGGCTCACTGCAACCGAAGCTGACATGGACAATCCTCAAAAACGCCGCTTCCCCATGAACCTGCTCCCCGGCAATGCTCTGTGATAGAGCTTTCGACAACTCCGGCTTGGTAAGCTTGCACCCGGCACGGTGTCGTTGCAAACCCGCAGCGACACAGAGCCCAACCAGCTCCGCCCGGACTCTGCTTCCCCAACTCGCCGCGGAGCCAGGCTTCGCCCTGCTCGGCATAACCCGTGCGCAGCTCCTGCAGCCTTTGCTGCGACGCCGCTTCATCGGCCTGACACCAAGAACTGCTTCACTGCAGAGCACTAAACATCCCACCCGACGACGACGCTGACAGCTCACTGCAACCGAAGCTGACATGGACAATCCTAAAAAACGCCGCTTCCCCATGAAGCCTGCTCCCCGGCAATGCTCTGTGATAGAGCTTTCGACAACTCCGGCTTGGTAAGCGTGCACCCGGCACGGTGTCGTTGCAAACCCGCAGCGACACAGAGCCCAACCAGCTCATCCTTGCCGTGCTTCCCCAACTCGCCGCGGAGCCAGGCTTCGCCCTGCTCGGCATAACCCGTGCGCAGCTCGAGCAGCCTTTGCTGCGACGCCGCTTCATCGGCCTGACACCAAGAACTGCTTCACTGCAGAGCACTAAACATCCCACCCGACGACGACGCTGACAGCTCACTGCAACCGAAGCTGACATGGACAATCCTAAAAAACGCCGCTTCCCCATGAAGCCTGCTCCCCGGCAATGCTCTGTGATAGAGCTTTCGACAACTCCGGCTTGGTAAGCGTGCACCCGGCACGGTGTCGTTGCAAACCCGCAGCGACACAGAGCCCAACCAGCTCCGCCCGACTCTGCTTCCCCAACTCGCCGCGGAGCCAGGCTTCGCCCTGCTCGGCATAACCCGCGCGCAGCTCCTGCAGCTTTCGCTGCGACGCAGGTTCATCGGCCTGACAGCAAGAACTACTTCACTTCAAAGCACAATACATCCCACCTGACAACGACACTGACGCCTCACTGCAACCGAAGCTGACATGGACAATCCTCAAGAACGCCGCTTCCCCATCAAGCCTGCTCCCCGGCAATGCTCTCTGATAGAGCTTCCAACAGCTCCGCTCTGGTAAGCGTGTGCCCGGCAGACTTCTGTTGCACACCCGCAGCGACACAGAGCCCACGCAGGTCCTGCCGGTTTTGCTTGTCCAGCTCGGTGCGGAGCCAGTCTTCGCCCTGCTGGGCATAACCGGCGCGGAACTTCTGCAACCGCGAATCCATGGGATGGAAGAAGGCGTCCACGCCGGCCCTTTCGCAAGACAGCGTCGAGGCAAGCAAAACACTGTCCCAAGTATGTTCAAATGCAAAAGTGTCTGCACCGACCCTTTCGCAAGACAGCGTCGAGGCGGGCAAACAACTGTCCTAAGTATGGTCAGCTGAGAAGATGAGAATAAGCTGAGAATAATCTCCACACCGGCCCTTTCGCAAGACAGCGTCAAGGCAGGCAAGGAAGCGTACTAGGTGTAGTAAGATGCTGCAATGTGTGCAAAATACTGCAACGCGTTTTCCCTTTCTTCCCTTTCTTCTGCCTTTCGAGCCAAACGAGGCAGGCAAACGTGCAAGGAGAAAGCCTTTACAGAGCAGCAAGAAACTCCGAGCCTGCAGAAGTCATCGGCCAGGCAGCCTGCGAGTCGAACGTGTGCAAGGAGAAAGCCTCTACAAAGCAGGAGGAAGCTCCGAGCCTGCAGGTCATCGACCAGGCAGCCTGCGAGTCAAACGTGTGCAAGGAGAAAGCCTCTACAAAGCAGGAAGAAGCTCCGAGCCTGCAGGTCATCGACCAGGCAGCCTGCGAGTCAAACGTGTGCAAGGAGAAAGCCTCTACAAAGCAGGAAGAAGCTCCGAGCCTGCAGGTCATCGGCCAGGCAGCGGCGCGTTGCGCCGTCGCAAGACAGCGTACGCGCCGTACAGGCGCATGAATATATGTCTATCTATCTATCTATCTATATATCTATTATCTATCTATCTATCTATCCATATATGGATAGATAGAAAGATAGATATATATATATATATATGTGCGTATATTATCGATATATGCATCTGCCAATCCCTCTGAAGGGTTGCCAATTGCACCTCGCAGAGATGCAAGTTCCTGCAATCGACCACGCCACTCCCTGTGGAGAGTTGCACGGCGGAAAGGATACAAGTAGTAGTTTGCACACACGTTTCAACCCTGGACCACGCCAATCCATGCAGAGGGTTACACGCAGCGCCCAAAGACCATGCAACAGTACCTGCACACCTTCCGATTAGAACATTCGAGGAAGCTAATCCCTCTCAATGAAGGATTGCGCGGGGCACCGCAAAATGTGTAACTTTACCTTGCGTTCGACCACTCGACCACGCCAATCCCTGTGAGGGGTTGCAAAATTCATTTCAATGCTCATCAAAAATTGCAACTTTACCTCGCGTTCGAACACTCCACCACGCCAATCCCTGTGAAGGGTTGCAAAATTCATCTCAATGCTCATCAAAAATTGCAACTTTACCTCGCGTTCAACCACTCGACCACGCCAATCCCTGTGAGGGGTTGCAAAATTCATCTCAATGCTCATCAAAAATTGCAACTTTACCTCGCGTTCGAACACTCCACCACGCCAATCCTTGTGAAGGGTTGCAAAATTCATTTCAATGCAAATCAAAAAATGCAACTTTACCTCGCGTTCGAACACCCGACCACGCCAATCCCTGTGAAGGGTTGCAAAATTCATTTCAATGCAAATCAAAAAATGCAACTTTACCTCGCGTTCGAACACCCGACCACGCCAATCCCTGTGAAGGGTTGCAAAATGCAAATCCCTGTGAAGGGTTGCAAAAAAAATTGAACTGCACCCAAACCCTGTGAAGGGTTGCGCGGCGCCCGCAAGAAGTGTAACTTTACCTCGCGTTTGAACGCCCGAGGAGGCGAATCCCTGTGAAGGGTTGCGCGGCGCCCGCAAGAAGTGTAACTTTACCTCGCGTTTGAACGCCCGAGGCAGCGAATCCCTGTGAAGGGTTGCGCGGTGCGCCTAAAATGTGTCACTTTACCTAGCGTTTGAACGCCCGAGAGTTCCAATCCCTGTGAAGGGTTGCGCCGGGCGCCTAAAATGTGTAACTTTACCTCGCGTTTGAACGCCCGAGAGTTCCAATCCCTGTGAAGGGTTGCGCGGGAACCGCAAAATGTGTCACTTTACCTAGCGTTTGAACGCCCGAGGCAGCGAATCCCTGTGAAGGGTTGCGCGGGCACCGCAAAATGTGTAACTTTACCTCGCGTTTGAACGCCCGAGGAGGCGAATCCCTGTGAAGAGTTGCATTCCCGATGGACCCCGACGGTGCCACCCCCGCCTTTAAAAGAAATATTAAGATACCGAGATGTAGAGAGTAAGTCATAAGTCATAGTAAGTCATAGATGCATAGAGAGTCAGTCATAAGTAAGTAATCATAAGTAAGTAAGTAGATAAGTAAGTAAGTAGAGTCAGTAAGTAAGTCAGTAAGTAGTAAGTATAGTAAGTATAGTAAGTATAAGTAAGCAAGTCAAGTAAGTAAGTAAGTAAGTATAGAGATAGCATAACATAGAGTCCAGTGTCAAGTGTCAAGTGTCAAGTAAGTTAGTAAGTAGATTGAAGTAAGTAAGTAAGTAAGTAAGTCGTAAGCATAACATAGAGTCAAGTATCAAGTGTAGAGTCAAGTATCATAGAGTCAAGTGTCAAGTGTAGAGAGTCAGTCATAAGGGTCAAGTAAGTAAGTAAGTATCAAGTGTAGAGTCAAGTATCAAGTGTAGACTAAAGTATGGAGTCAAGTAAGTTGATTCTATGTCTGTCATCTATGTACTCAGCTGCGGCGTTCCACACGGAAGAACCCTTCGCGATGCTTTCGGGAAAAAAAAACCTAAAAAGGAGCTTTAACAAAAAGCCCTAAGCCCTAAAACTCAAGCCCTGAACCCTAAACCCACATGGCCTCAAGTAACAAGAACCCCAAGAAGCCCCAATAACCAACTCACCCCCCCGAAGCATCCTTATCATGAGTAGGCCCGAAGAATGTGCGTAGTTCGAAGAAACAAACCGCGCTCGAGCTCCGGCTTTCACCCTGCACAGGGCTTTCGGCATCCACTGCCCTGAGGTTTCGTGTGTTCTGTTTGCGAGCCTTAACCCTGAACCCCAATGCCAGCACAAGTTGTGATTTAGGACTTCGGCTAGAGGCTTGCATCAGCGTCCCGCTTTCGACTGCATCATGTTCCCTGATCGTCCCGATGATACTTACACCAGAATGTAACCCTACACTTTACTCCAATCATGAAGGCCCCTATAAAGGAGCCCTCAAAGGAAGCCCTTAAAGAAACCCGTCGGGTGATGGGGACCAAGCATAAACCCAACTCCTCAACTCATCTCGTCTGCCACGAAGAATCTTTTGAATTTAGGGCGTGCGCTGCGGGTGTAGGGCTTGTTGGGGTTTCAGGATAGTCGGGTTGAAAGTCTTGGCCTTGCACTTGGTGATGATCTACTTGCTTGTCTTGTGAATCGTGCTAGTTCTGATGGATGCTAGTAGTGCTGTGTTCCTCTCAGAGTGTCAGCGTTTTTGCGTGCTGATTGTTGCAAGCACCTTGACTGATATGTTGATCGAAATTGCCACTGGCACAATATCAGCCGCAGAATCTCAGGATCCCGAAACCAGCCCTCAGCCAGCCAATGCCTAGGGCTTAAGAGGTAGCTTGGACTTCACACACACGACACCCCATGCCTGCAGCCCCCCGAAAGCCCTGGTCCAGTTCCTAAGCCCCAGAGCTCAACCCGTCTTGAACCCTCACCACCAGAATCCCTAAATGTACATACTCACTGCCAAAATATAGCTGGGTGTCGTTTCGATGCCGACCACTGCTGAGCAGCAGCAACAGCAGCAGCAGCGCCGGGTGCCAAGTTGGGTTCAGCGCACATTGACAGTGAAGTTGTTGTGATTGACAACAGGGAATCGGTTCAGACCTCCGGGCGGGCGTGAGTTTGGGCTGGGAGCGGAATCAGAATCACTGCCCCTCAAGAGCTATCTCAGGAACGGAATGGTCTACAATCAGACTGCAAACGAGGAGGATGAGCGTCCGGGGCTTCCGATGCGCATGCAGGGCTCCTAACAGTTGACGGTATGCAGCCCAGTAAGCTGCAAGAGCTGTGCTTGAAGCTGCAAAGTGCGCAAGCCTTCTCGTGGTGTATATGGTTCAGACATCGAGTTTTATGATGAGGCCTTCGCTTCCACCGCTGCCGGAGTCGCAGTACGTCGTCGTGGTAGCAGAAGTAGTAGTAGAAGAAGTCGCAGTGGTGGTGGTGATAGTAGTAGTAGTAGTAGTAGTAGTAGTAGTAGTAGTAGCAGTAGTAGTAGTAGTAGTAGTAGTAGCAGTAGTAGTAGTAGTAGCAGTAGCAGTAGTAGTAGTAGGAGTAGTAGTAGTAGTAGTAGTAGTAGTAGTAGTAGTAGTAGTAGTAGTAGTAGTAGTAGTAGTGGCAGCAGTAGCAGCAGTAGTAGCAACCGCAGTAGCAGTAGCGATAGCAATAGCAAGAGTACAATGGCAATAGAATCATGATTACAGCAGTGGTAGCCACCTGGCTGTCGTGCTGATCGTCGTGGTTGTTGTGGTGTTGAGAGTCGGTTTTACTGCTGCTTTCGCTTGGAGGAGCTTCTCCAGAAACACTGCGAGGAGTTGGAGCAGCGGTTGCGTCAGGAGAGCTTTTGCGAGACCTGCGATCCTCTTCTTGCTACACCTGCTGCCTCCTCCTCGTCCTCGTCCTCCTCCTCCTCCTCCTGCTCCCCCCCGCTGCTGCTGCCACTAGTTCCACTCTTGAGTTACCCATGCATTTTGCTAGAAACGGCCCCAGCAACGCAGCTGGACAAGCCGCATGGACGAGTGCGGGGTTGTGATGTGTCCGCTTGCAATTTCGGCTCGGGTCGGCACAGGCTACGTTTCAAGACAGTTTTCAGGTCCGGGTTCTTACACATGACGGCTTGGGATTTGGCCCGTCCGTCATGCGATCCTCGTGCAGAATCCTCGGGCGGAGTGTCGATGCCAATTCAAGCTGACAGCTGAGGGCCTGACTTCACAGTTTACAAGCTTTTGAGGGGCGCGTGATTTCGCTGCAATGACGGCGAGCGTGGCATGTGGAGCTGCCAAGATATGCCCGGGGTCCCAGAAACCCGAACCCTCCACCAGATCCCAAGGACTGAACCCAAAGCCATGAACCCTTTGACGGCTCTAATCTAGGGGCTTCAATCATTACCTATACTATTTTGGGGGGGTTCCTTATTCCTTATTATCAGTATAGTATAATGGGCCCCCCAAACCCGATTCTAATTATTAAGGCCCCTTATCTTAAGCAGCAGAAGGCTCAAGTAAGCCTCAAGCC